TACCTGTGACAGGTGGAGCTGCTGGCTTTTTAGGAGGCACCAGGGACACTTTCTTTTCAGGGATGACCTCTTTGGGCACCTCAGGCACTTCAAAGGGACCAATGAGATTATACTTAGGTCTTATGGAGACCAAAGACCACACTTATTTTTCAAGAGCAATGTAAGTATAGCTTCTGAAACCTTGGGTCACTGACAAGTACTTGTAACAGGCAGGACTTTTGGCTTCCTAGGAGGTGTCACTGTTTACTTTTGGGGGACAATTTCTGGCTCTTAAGAGAGATTAGTAGTTTTTCTTTTATGTAGGGCAATGAGGTAAATGGACTAGAAATGTTTTCAAGAACAGAAGGCATTCATTCTGAAGAGTAAGACAAGGACTTAAAAATACCTGTGATAGGTGGGGCTTCAAATTTTGGGGGTGGGACTGTGGGAGCTTTCTCTTCTGGGACAACTGCTTGATGAACTACAGGCACTTGAAAGACAGTAGGAATTATGGATTGAAGTTAGGAATGGGCAATGAACTAAAGCTTTCCAAGAGTGAGCCAGTTATTTCCTCTTCTTCTAAAGGTCTGGGTGACATGTACCTGGGACAGGTGTGGCTTCTGGCTTTTTAGGAGGTGCTGCTGGTCTTTTCTTTTCAGGGACAATTTCTTGGACTTCAGGCACTTAAAAGATATTAGTAGTTTTACACTTAGGTTAATAAAGAACAATGTGCTACATTTGTTTTCAAGAATGGAAGAGAGATTTCTTCTGAAGAAGGTCTGGTGACAAGTACCTGGGACAGGTGTGACTTCTGGCTTCTTAGGAGGTGCCATTGGTCTTTTCTTTTCAGGGACAATTTCTTGAACTTCTGGCACTTAAAAGATATTAGTAGTTTTACACTTAGGTTACTAACTTGGGTTAGTGAAGACAATGGTCTACATTTGTTTTCAAGCACAGAAGAGAGATTTCTTCTAAGAAGGTCTAGTGGCAAGTACCTGGGACAGGTGTGACTTCTGGCTTCTTAGGAGGTGCTGCTGGTCTTTTCTTTTCAGGGACAATTTCTTGGACTTCAGGCACTTAAAAGATATTAGTAGTTTTACACTTAGATTAATAAAGAACAATGTGCTACATTTGTTTTCAAGAATGGAAGAGAGATTTTTTTCTGAAGAAGCTCTGCGTGACATGTACCTGGGACAGGTGTGACTTCTGGTTTTTTAGGAGGTGCCATTGGTCTTTTCTTTTCAGGGACAATTTCTTGGACTTCAGGCGCTTAAAAGATTTTAGTAATTTTACCACTTAGATTAGTGAAGACAATGGTCTACATTGGTTTTGAAGTACAGAAGAAGAGAAAAGA